GTGCAGAGATCCCAAATTGCTGGGTTGGAATTTTGGTATTCCAGAACCTCAGTGGGATAATTTTGGCAATACAGTGGAGGAAGCATTCAACAATCCCTTATTTGCCAAATTGCACTATCGCTTCAAGCAGGAGGAAGAGATTGGTCGTGTCATGCACCTTGTGTCGGAACTTGTTTGTGACTTTTTCATCAAGGTGCTTCCCAAGTGGGTTCTTGACCACTCGATCTTGTGGGAAGAGTTTATGATCTTGGATCCAGACACAAATCTCCCAGCCTACAAGACTTCAGAGGCCGCCTTACAAGCAGAAAGGAATCCAGAGAAGTATCATACACATTTTGCTATGAACTTCAAGAAATTCCGTTTTTCTGCAAGAATTGTGTGGTATTTGATTGACCGTGACAGGAATCATTTAGAGAGTTTTCTTCACAACTCCAACAGTAGATTTGTGCAACATGCATGCTATCAACTTCGTGAGTATGTTCAGGCGCGTGTTGCAGTTTCTGATCCCTTGTATGAGATGATCAAGAAGGAAGAGTTTGAACGCCAATACAATTCCAAGTTTTTGGAGGCGATTTCTTGCTCTCGTGTTGTAGTTGAGCCTGTAAGTTCAGGGACGTATGAGCCATCATCGAAGCTGAACTTAAAGGTACTACAAGACATCCTGAAGGGTATCTTCAAGATCCAGAAGGATGAGGAGCTTGCCAGAGAACGTGATGAAGAAGAAGAACAGGCAGCTCAAAACATCTCAAACTTGCTGGCAGATGATATGGAGCTTGATTTTGATGATGATGATGTTCCAGTATGGCGCTCCATTGTCGACAAGTATAGAGGAGGTGATCAGGTGCTACAGGGAGAAGCTGTGAAGATTACTCACCTGTTCAGGGATCAAAAGGACAATGAGAAGGCGACAGAAGCTTTCAGTTCAGAGAGGACAGATTTTTATGAGACCTCAGGACCTCTTCCAAGAACCGAGGGAGAAAATCTTGTAGAGGACTTGCTCACCAAGGATGTTGCAGAACAAGCTTTTGAAGCAGGTGAAGAAGTTCCTCCTTATACAAGAGTCTCCACTATCGCTGGTGAAATCTATACTGGAAGTAGGACACTTCTAGAAGATGAGAATATGGAAGAGGAAGTTCCTGAAGAAGATCCTGCAGTTGAACCTGGAAAGGAAGAAGAAATATTTGATGAGAACGCAGGTGTTTTTCCTTCAGAGGAACCAAAGATGGAAGTGGACCAGGAGGAAGCCAAGGAAGAGTCAACACCACACTTTCTGTCAAGAGAGATAGGTGAGGACTCGACTGCATCGCACTTACCATCAGGTGAGATGGATGCTAACCTTGATGATACTTCAGGTCAGCGGAAATCTAAGAAAAGCCGCCTGAATAAGATACCTGATCCTCATTTTCATGAAGAAGTTCAGGATGATGCAACCATGGAAGAGAAGAAAGAGGCGGTGGAGAAAATAAAAGAGGTCAGAGAGGATGATGGAGAGAAGAAACTGGAGGCTGAAATGCAAGAATCTTTTCCATCTGAAGTAGTTGTTGAAAAGGATACAACAAAAGTTGACAATACCTATGAGTTGCATACTTCACCTTTGAAGTTGCTTGGAGAGCTTACAGGAGATCCAGGTATTGGCTTTTATCAACTATGCTTCAGGGAAACTCATGCAAGATTGCTGAATCATGTTTGTTTCAGAAAAGGTGAGATTTCCCATCCTCATTATCAGTCGAGGATCAACGAGAATGATTTTGTTCGATCCATTCGTAATATCTGTCCAGTACCTCCACCTGATTGTTATGAACATGAACCAGAGCATGATTTGAAGAGATTCTTTATCAATGATGATCACATCATTTATTTGGATGGCAAGTATCAGGTCGATCCAAAGGCCCTTGAAAGGGCAGGACATGCTCGAGAAGAATTGGAGGAGACGAAGAAGGAACTCAAGAATGAACTGGAATCATATGGTCCCAAGGGACCCAGTTGGGACTTTGTCACCTTCTATGAAGAGCTGTGCAGGAGGTTCCTCAAAGGAAGAATAGAAGAACCACATGGAACTAACCTATTGGCCAGCTCAGAGTCCTTGACATTTTTATCCTGGAACTATGGCAACATGGTTCGTGGTCAGAAGTACACCACACCAAGGTTTCTCCAAGGACTTGATAGTGCAATGAGGCCACGCAAACAGAGCGCCATGTCACTTCAGAATGAGCAATTTGAGAACAACCTTTTCTTCAACATGCTCTTCTTTTTACGTGCACATGTCGTGATTCTCCAGGAAGCTCATCTTCTTGTTCCTGCCAAGGAATTTATTGAGCAAAAGAATTGGACAGTTTGTTTCAATGATTGGGAGAATCTTGCAGTGATGGCTAGATTGGCACCAGGTGGATATGTCAAGATCATTGCTGGACATGACCAAGACCTTGGTCACTGTGAACAGCGTGATGTAACTTGGGCTATCTACGAGATTTGTTTTGGAGAAACAAGGCCTCGTCAAGATTTCAAGGATGCAGACTTTGAATTTGATGACTATGGTCCTGAGGACAAGCGTGTTCCACTTACTCGAGCGAACATGCATACCATCAGAGTCTGTAATTATCATGTTGATACACACCGTGCTGTGGATGCCCACCTACTGACAGGAGAACAGACAGCATTGATGCTTTACGAGTGTTTTGTCTATGAGGTGGACATCATTTCTGGTGATGCAAATAGTTTGGCCTACAGAATGTCTGGGTACAAAAGGCAGCCAATGGCTAACTACTATTACAGCACCATGCAGCATTGGATCCGCAGGTTTTCAGAAGCTCGTGTAAAAGCAGATCCTGGTATCAAAGCACCTATTCCCAGAACATTTTACAGTTCAACTTCACAGGTCCTCAAGAAGTGTGAAGTTTACTTTGATAAACTCTGGGAAGAATATTCTACTATTGAAAAAGAAGAATACCAAGGATCACAGCTTGGCGATACATGTTTGTCTACCATTGTTGAATGGGGTCATTCAATGAGTGAAGAGGAATATGAAAATTCCACAGTGAGCACGAAGGAGTTCATCTGTAATTTTTCAGAGAACTTTGCTATGATTGACACGGAGGTTATGTGCTCAAGGCCCACTGACGAGGACAGTCATGGTCCAATGTTTATTTCACTCAGACCAGCTTCCTTTTCATCTGGAGACAGAAGACAGTATCGCATGGGACCAACTCTTCATGAGGCGAACTTGCGGAGGAAGGAGAGACAGAAGCAGAATAGAAAGAAAGGAAGGCCGCCAACTTCTGATCAAGCAGCTTCATCGTCTGCAGCGGCATAATTCCTGAGCGAAGGCTAAAATTTTAATGATGGCTAGGAAGTGAAGATACTTCTGGTTACAGTTGATACTTTGCTTCCAGGCTTGACTTTAAATTGCCAGGCTGAAGTTTTAATAAACTCTGGTTTGCAACAAGGAGAAACTTTTTATCAAAGAAGATACTCCTGCATTCCAGGTTTATACGCTTTAGCATGTAGATAGGTATGGACAGTTTTACAGAACTGATGATATCTATCACCACCGCTCTTATGAAGTGACCTCTAGTGGACAACCAGTCATGGTTGATGATTAAGTCATTTCATGATTTGCAATTGTAGTGCAAGATTTTTTTGTACATACATTTGCCGGTATCTCCTTCTTGTGTTTTTGATGTGAATGTGAAAGAGAGTCCTTTTGATGCAGTTTTATTTTGTCTGTGAATGAAAGCGGTCGAGACCACGTCACGAGAAGATTATTCCTCGGACCGTACGCTCCTTGCATTTTGCAAGGCATTTTGATTAATTGCATTTGTGCGGTCTTGAATTTTTAGTTCCTTGTTACGCGAGTGTCGTTTGATTCTTTTATAGGTCTCTGTAGAGAAAAAGCCGCTTTCCTTTTTAGTTTGATTTAGCTCAGGCCATAAAGAGCTAGTGAGCGCCGGTACATGGTATCTCCGCCTGTGAAAAGTACAGTCTCCAGCCGAGGTACATTATCGTTTTGATTTTGTACTTGAGGTGAGTCAGCTATTGCTCCCTCACTGTATTTAGTAGCTTTGAGATTACCTTCTCTATAGTGTGAAACACACTGGATTAGGTAAGTACATGGCACCGTAGTTTTCTTTTAAGTTGTCAGAGCTAGCTGGACTGTTTTAGCCTTGCAGTAGAAAAAGAGTATGCGACATACGCAATCAGCTAGGAGTGGACATGAATCTTGTGCCTGCTGAAAAGTAGAGCCTACCTGTACAGGGTTCCACTCCAACAGCCGATATAGTGTGTCCATGCTTGACTGCTTCAAGGCTCAAAGAGCAAGAGGATAAGACTCTGCGCATAAAAGACACTAGCGGTCTGCACCTCTACCGTGTACGCCCTAGTCACTCTTTCACCCCCTCCCCCCCTCTAAAATCAATTCTCTCCTGGAGAACGTCTTCGTGAGCCTCTCATGATTTCAGGATAGTTGAAACCCTCTTGAACATTCAGAAAGAGTGAATATGAAATTCTAATCACGAAAGGTGTTCCCCGAGGGGATACATACCTAGAGTTTGTTTTGTGAAGCACGTCAATTCTCTCCTGGGGAGCGTCTTCGTGAGCCTCTTATGGTTTCAGGATAGTTCAAATCCTATGATGTTCCGATTCAATGCTCACCGATGATCTGAGCCATGGGGCAAGTTTGTTTTCCTAAGAATCTTTTTGAACATTTCGAGAGCATATGTTTGAACATTTAGAGTGCATATGAACATATATTTACGAAAGGTCGCCTCCGAGGGGATAAATCACCATGTCGAACATTGCATTTTTGTGTCTGCCTCTCGCGTTCTCTTCTCTTCCCGCTGTCCTACCTTTCGTGTCTCCCTCCTCTCAAGTCTGTGGTACATAGGGGATGAGCTATAAGGCTGTTCAACCTCTCTTGGAGAGTTTGGGACTTGGCAGTTTGGAATGATCGGGGACTTGATCGGGGCTCTCAGTGGCAGCCTGGTGCGCCAGCAGTCTTGACTCAGGACAAGGATGGCTACTCGGCGCTCTCCTTGGCCTCGGTCTTTGGGCATTTGCAGGTAGAAATGCACGGGAGGATGATTTGATGTGATTTGAGATGTTTTTTTGCCAGTGTTTATTGCCGGAGATGTGCCAGTCAAGTGTCTTGTGCTGGTAGTCTCACCAATGAAAGGCGGGGTAGGAATTCAAGCGTACATATTGCTTATGTGTAGTACTTGTGTAGGTCTTCAATGAGCGTCCGCCTGCAGCGCCTCCTTTATGACTTAGATGATTCGTGCAAAGTCAGGTCCATCTACCTGGACCCTCCGACCTTCGGGGTGTCCTGGCTGGACTACCCCACACGACCGGCCGGCCTCGGCTTCCAGACAGGGCACCCCGACAGGAGGGTCCTGGTAGACAGATTGTTTCAATGTTTCTTTGGCACCACTGGTTGCCCAGCCAGACTACACTGGGCCTATTGGGCAATATGGCAGACTACTGCAGACAGTGACTGGGCCCAGACAACGCTCACGTTCAGCATGCCATGCCCACCAGATGCTCAGATGCTTGGCCGTGCCAATTGCACCGGCCATGCATGGCCAGTTTCACCGCTTGCTCGTGTCGTGCCCGGCATCGGCTTGCTCTTCCAGGCCTTTGCTGCACCGCATTTCTTCCGAATCAGTGTAACCCATGCCCGCCGTGCCTGGTTTAACCCATGCCTGCCGTGCCTGGTTTAACCCATGCCCGCCAACCCTGGTTTAACCCATGCCCGCCGTGCCTGGTTTAACCCCTGGTTTAACCCATGCCCGCCGTGCCTGGTTTAACCAATGCCTGCCGTGCCTGGTTTAACCCATGCCCGCTGCGCCTGGTTTTTTGGATTACCTGAACCCATTGGTTGGATTGCGTTGCATCCCTCATCTCTGGATTACCTGAACCCATTAGTCTAGCACAGCTCACGGGCCGGAAAGAACGCCCTCGGCAGGTGGCAAAGCAGTTGATCCGTGCGAAGGCACAGCTGTCCAAGTCCGATAGCGATGGCTTCACCCCACTCATGGTGGCCTGCGTGAACGACCATGAGGAGCAGACCACCTGGCATTGGATTCGATCCTTTTACATGTAACAAAACCTTAAAAGCACACTCATTGTGTCATAGTCTGAAGGCAAATCAACCACTCATACCTAGATCAGCCTGAAACCATTCAGGCAGAAATAACTGCCTGAGGAACATCTAGGTATGACTCATAGGGTACAGATGGAGTATCCGACTGTTTTCGTTCGAGTCGATGCGCTGCTCGGGCGTTCCATGAGTCCGGCGACGAAGCAACGCCCGTCGCCGGTGGGGGCATGCGGGCAGGCGTCGATGCGGCGCCTGGGATTGGACAAGGAATGAATTGAATTGATTTGGTTTAAGGAAAGAATCTGCAGGAAACCCTGGTTTTCACCACCAAGACTGTGGGTTTCCTGCAGATGTTTCAAACCCAATTCTGGGAAACATGGGTGCTGGATGATGCTGGGGTCAGAAATCCCTCGCGTCCATTCCCTTTGGGATAAGTGAATGAGAAGGTCAGTCCACAGCATCGAACAAATGGAGGACCCCGCTGGTATTCGGTATTCAGAATATGTTTATCCACCATGATTGTTTCAAGCAGTGTCAGGAAAAGCCAGAAAGAGCGAATGTCTAGACGCTTGACAAGTCGAGCGGTCTGTGTTCTTGTTCCTCCGAATGATCTCGTTGCGCATCGCAGATGGCACCGGAGGGACATCGGCCGGTCGTCAGGACATCGCCCACGCCTTGATTCTGGCGCGTGCGGGCATGGAGCCTGGATGCCTGGGACCTTCGCCGGTGGCTGTCGCGTATGAAAGACCCTTGGGCAGACACTCACACGTGATGACATGACGCGAGGATGAGGCGAGGATGAGGCGATTCGATACATGTTGGACATAGTTTGACCAGGAGATTTTGTCACCCTAAGTGGTTCGGGGCGTGGTCTATGTCCCTTCTTCGATCCCTCCCTCTTTGGGTGGAGCACGGCACGTGTCCTTTCGCGGTCGGAGGATCGGGTTCGGAGCGAAGGATCGGGTGCCGCCGGACATGCGTCCTCCACCTCTCCTTTCAACTGAGTTCAACTCCAATCAGGAAATAAAGTGGTCGCGCTTGGAGAGCGAAGTAGAAGGGAGGGAGCTTCCGTTAGTAACACCGAACGGAAGGCACATGGTTTTCAAGCAAAGAAGTATACTTTACCATGGATCTTGCAAGGGACCCAATAATGTTTACATCAAGTAAATGTCTATGAACTGCATAATTGGTCGTTTGTTCTACTTGTTTGGGGCGCAATCTCGTGATCTGTAGGGCTGCCTCATTCTTGGAAGGATAGCTTTGTTGGCAGGTATTTATTTCTCATTTGGCACATATCCAGGGAGGCACAGCACATTAACACCGTAAAGGCAGGGCCGTGCGGACGCATCCGCCGGTGCCCTGGTGGATGGAAAGGATGGCATTTCTAGGACATGCCTGGCTTCGTCCACGCGCGACTTCGGATCATCCTACAGTTTACAGTTCTATTCACTTCTATTCCTTCCCGGTGGTTTGAGAGCGCTCCGGTGAATGGTTCCTGACGAGGTGCGGAAAAAAAAGGACTGAGCAGCAGCGGTTCCTTCAGAACACAGGATGGTCCTACTCTGCTTAGATATAGTCGTTTGTTAAGAGTAAGTATGCTTGCCACAACTACTGACCAACTATATATATATATATATAACTATGCTAACTTCCAGGGAAGTCCCTGCCAAAGACCTCCGCCCCTTCACTTAGACACTTGACCAGTTGAAAGCACTCTTTCACTTGTCGCGCTCTTTCACTTGTGGCCCCGTCCGAGGCAATTGCTTTGATTTGGTGAAGCAATTGCTGGAAGAACGTGCTGATGCCGCTGGGCATGGAAAGGTCTGCGCCGTCCGAAGAAGCGCGGTCTGCCCTGCGATCGGTCGGTCGCAGCGATGGGAGAAAGAGGGTGAAGGAGCAGATCATCGCTGGACCCATGAGAAGTCGGATCTTCAATTCATGAGCTGATGGACATCTGTAGAACCTGTAGAACTCCATGCATTATCATGTATTACATATCGAATGTATGGCAGATTCTACATTGGGGTGGCAAGCAAGCAAGGGGGCTCGGGGTGTCCGCTGTACTTGGGACTGAGCTCGCGGAGGCTTCCATGCAGAGGCTTTCAGGGAGAGTCGTCCGCCAAAAGCTTCCTCCCAGGAAGGGGCCTTTGGGGAAGAGAACTTTCTCTCCAGTGAGGGTGTTTTGATGTTTTTTGTTGATCCAGTTTTGCAGATATAGGAGATGGGTTTAGAGTTTGAAGCTACGGGCTTTGGCATGGAAACCATAGAGCACAACCATTCTTGGGGAAAACATCGTGCATAGCTATTGAAGTCAGGCAAGCTTGACTGCAATTAGCTTAACGACGTCATCATCGTCATCCATTGTTTGACCGGATGGGTTTCTTGGGATGTCAGCAAATTAAACATATTAAAACAAACTTGCAGGCGCGGTGGTTCATTGTTTTGGGTGCCTCCTGAGAAGGTGTTAGAGTGCCCAAATAATCAAAATAGCATTTGAACAGGTGCTCGGAGCCCTTGGCGACGGTGATCTTTTGACATTCTTCTATAGGTGGAGATTCTGAAATACAGTATTCAAGAACACCGCTTGAGTTGCACACAAGACTTTTCACTTCACAACCTCACAACCACTCGCCACTCGCCAGTCAGTCCCGCACTGAACTTACGCAGGTTTTTTTTTTGAATGTGCCTGCCTTGTTGTTCTTTATGTTCGGCACGGCCTTCTCCGCCGACTGGAGGCGAATGCCGTGGACGAGCACGGGATGTCTCCCTTCATGTCGGCCTTCCAAAACGATGACTGGGAACTCTTGGAGTTCATGGTGCACCTCCAAGCCGACGCGCGGCGGCACCTGGTGGGCCACGGGATCCGGCCAGGGTGACACATCCGGAAGTCCGGAAGTGGAGGGTCTCCAGTCCCCTGGTGATGGTGGAAACTCGGAGGAAAATGGGAAAACATCAGGGCCCAAGGTGCCATGGGCTACACTTCCATGATGATTCCAGGTAGTGTAATACACTATAGTATGTGTTGATTGTTTTGGACCACGGGCAGGGGAAAGAGGTCGGGAGATGACAAGCCCTTTGCTTGGTGTGTGAGAGGCTTTGACATTCAGTAAATTCAGAGAACTGATGTCAAAGGTTGTTTGAGTTGTGCCAAAGAAATCCTACCCCCCTGCAGACTAACATCGACCCTGAAAATGGTTCTTTCGTTTCGACCGTGTCCTCCCCAATCGCTCGTGGTTTTGAGAGTCTGTGTGGTCCTTTACGGGTACGTATGTACTGGGCAAGTGCTTTGGGATACGCTGATGAAACGTCCTCCACGTCACTTCGAGCTCTACAAGAATTGAAACAGAACATGCTGTGTGATTCTGTTTTTGTTTTGTTTTTGCCTATGGTTGAATCCCCTTCCGGGGAAGATTCTGGTTCCGATTCCTTCAAATCCTGGTGCTATATCCGAGGATGTGAACCAAGCCTTGCCAGACCACCGCACTGCTTTGCTGGTGGCGTCGCAGCATGCAGATTTGCAAGCAGTGGAACTCTTGCTCTCTCTGAAGGCCATGCAGTCAACCTGGCCCAGCTGGGAGTGACATGGTGGATTGAAGGAAAATCCCTAAAGGAAAACTGCAACTGTAGCTCTGTGGGACTTGCTGCAGGAACAGTTGCTGCGAGAGTGAGAAAGGTTCTTCAGTAGGGTGCTGGATGTTTTTGCATCTCTTCGATGTGAAAGCTAAATGGTCCGACTTAGAGCACAGTCCGGCTGAACCATAGATGATAGACCTTCAGTGAACAATGCAGAAGTAGGAAAAGTAGGAAACATAGCGGCCCGCCACATTTGTTGCTCAAAAGAACCTTCGCAAAAAGAGACTGGAATTGTAGAGAGCCTGTCCTCCCGCTGCCTGGCAATAGATGGACTGGAAAGGCAAAATTCTCGCTACGAATGCTGCCGCTACAAAGCATTTGACAGGCGAAAACAGAGATAAGAAAGACTTGTTGCCTCTATAAAGCAGTGGTTCTTTATGGCAAGGAGCTACTCGTACTGTATATGTATACTTTGGGTTTGTCCTATTACCACTGTAACGGGCAGGTTTCACAAGCAAATCACGATTTCAGAGCTGGATGTCAGCCTGCAAGCAGTCCCCAGGTTCGGGCCCGGCACGTGCTCGGTGCGTCCGGAACCCGGGCTCCCGTGGGCCAGGCCGATGCCAACAGCGCGCGGAATGGGCGAAGCCCACTGAGCTATGCTGTGGAGTCGCTCGGAGCGACCCGCCCCGTCGCCGAAGAGCGGGCTCCCCGAAGAGCGGAGATGTTGGTTGGAGCCGCTTGGAGTCTTTAGGATCATACCAGTACCTGCTAGTTCAGTGTGTCTTTTTGCGTAAGAACCTATGGCTGGTTTCCTTCATTGGCAATTTGTAGTGATATGTAGTGTATACTTCTCCAAGGTCAGAGTGGAAGCCAGATACCTTGATTGACCTACCTGGAAGGTCAAGCTACATGGTGTTGGGGCGCCGCTTTTTGACCTGCATTGAACTTTACAGAACCAAGCCAAGATAGACTTCCCAAGCCCTTGAGCAGCCTTGAGCCAGCAACAGATGTCTAGTCTTCCGAATCAACATATGGTTAAGATGTGTAGTCTGTGTATGTCTGAGTATAGACCAGAATCGTGAAGCTGGGTGCTCAAATGGAGGTCGAGAGGAGAAGGAAGGGTAGTTTGTTGGTTATCCGTTGGAGAGGTCGACAGCAAGGTATTATTTGCCTTCCAAGCTCCAAGGGACTGGGTTGCATTGACCATTATCATGACATATCTCGCAGAATGCATTGGGATGGTTTCAGATATTTGCTATGAGTGTTTGGGTACTACAGGACTTAACTGACTGGAGGCTGCAGGCTTGCCAGTTAATTGTTCGAACCCAACTTCTTTTTTTTGGTGATGCATACTGCAAACTGTTTGGTTGGAAATCATCTTGATGGTAGGACTTGAGGTACGTGAATGGGACTGCAGATGATCTCTTCACTCGGCATGTGAATGTATTGTAAGGAGTATACAATAATAAGACTGTTATTTGTTGCTTTTCCTCAGCGGGGGGAAGCGAAGAAGGAGCCACGGACTACATCCATCACCTCCATACATCCGTAGCTGTGTTCTTTTTCCAAAAGCAGCTGGAAGCTCACCAGGTTTTGTATTGTTTTGGTTGGCGGCTAGCCTCTTCCAATACCCCTTGACATTGAGCCACACACAGAGACTAGAGGCTTCCGGGGTTTTGGAGGACAGAATTCAGACCCGGAGGAGAGCACCATTGAGATGGCTTCAGGGATCAACGTATATATATATATATTTTTATATAATATATTATATATATCCCTAGGGCTCCTGGCCCACCTCTGAGGAGATGGGCCAGGAGCCCTAGGGTAAAATACACCAGCAGTTCCAAAGAGGTGCCTATTGGAGGATAGGGGTTGCCAGAACATCCACTCACTGGATGGAGCGAAAGACAATTTTTTGGAACGGCTGTTGTATATTTGTATATCTCATATACATTCCATACATGGAGTATTTCCAGGGTATGATATGGCCTCTAAAATGGCAATATAGTTTTTGTAGATGCGTCCTGCCCTGTCAGTGCAGGTACCAAGATGAACCGTTGCTGCGCTCCTTGTTGGAGGCTCGTGCTACACCAAGCCAAGAAGCCCGTGCATTGGCGGCTTGACATGGGAAAGATGTGTTTTGGGGTGACAGGTGGGTACGGACAGGTGGAAACGGTAAGAACAAGTACCTGCTTCTTCAAAGTGACCTTTTCATCACTGGGCTTGAGGTCACGTTTCCAGGCCTGTAAAAGGTCACTTAGAGACTCCAAAAAGGTCACTCTGAAGAAGCTGGTAAGTTGTTTGTATCTCCTGAAACGTCTCGAAAGTCAGGTTTGGCCTGACTTTGGCTCGCGTCGGAAAATTCATCACATCCCCATGGCAAGGTGCGACATGCGAGGTGGTTGGTGTGCTCAGCTTTAGACCTGGGGCTTGCAATTTCCTAAATGGGTGTGGGGTTTAATGCGGGGACCCCCAACCAATAAGTGTTGGTCTATTTTCCTTCCAGTGGGTCTTTCGAAGGCCTCCCATGTTAAAAACACAGATAACTTGAGAAGACACTGCCAAGATGGGGGTCTTGGATTGAGCCACCACTGTATCACTTGGTTCATTAACTTCACCAAGAACTGGGGTCCTGTGGGACTGGGGTAGCTTCGATTAGTCGAAGTACCAACGAGACCAACGAGGCGTCCGATTTTCCGTCTCGCAGCTCGCAGTCCTGCGATTCGACCAGTTTTCTTCCAGCTACATCACAAGAACCTGGTTTTGCGTAAGTGTGTGGTTTTATCTTAAATCTTCCCTACAGCCTACAGGTCAATCCCCTTCTGGGAAAAAAAACACATCTATGTGTTACAGGTTCCTCAAGAAAATCCCAGAGAACCAGCCTGACGAATGCCTCAAGGTGAGAGCTTCTGGCGGAGAGTGTTTGACCTGAGGCAGGACTGAGAGGGCGTGGCATCCTGTGACATCTGAAGCTGTTGAAATCCGAGGCTTTCGGAAAAAGTTGGCAGATGTCAGATAGCCAAGGCTAGACCATTGATATATACATATATATATATTATACATATATATATATATATATCTACATCGATGGAGAGAGAGAGAGAGAGAGCGAGAGAGATGTATATATTATAGACCTGTCAAACTCCCTTAGCATTCCGTGGAATATGTGGATTCGTTGGGCAAAATTGGTTTCTACTTGTCTTTCATGCGTTCCAACATGTTCCAACCACCATGTCCCTGAGAACTGAGAACAACATGCCATAGGCCTACTATGGATCCAAGTCACCAGCTGCTCGACACTAACCAGTAAGAAAATGAACAAGCCTCTCGTTCAACACGTGGTTAGACTGCAATCCCAATAGATCTTCCCACGACAATAGATCTTCCCACTGCAATCCCAATAGGTCTAACCACGACCAACTTCATTCTAGATCTTCCCTCACAGAGGCCGCTGCATCCCACGGCTGAGGGGCTGAGTTTCCCAAGGCCCCGAGGCCGCCCAGCTCATCTTCAGACCCGGTCCGTGCCCCCAAACACCACACCGAAGGTCGGTGAAATTCTTCACGTGCAGGACGGACGTGTCTCCCGGCCTTGGCCTGGCAGTCGTACCGAACCTGAGGTTCGGTGGGACGACCGGGGCGGACTGGGTGCCAGGGTCGGGTCCAGTCATACCGAACCTGAGGAGGTACCACTGGAGGTGTAGGGTCATCCGATGTTCCCCTGCCATCAGGCCACGTGGCGGACCGCCGGAACGTCGCGTGGCTCGGAGAGCCCACCTGGCCGCGCTGCACCGACCGAGGTCCACCGCATCGGCACCGCCGGGTGACAGACCGTTGGACAACGACGCCCTGCAGCGGACCCGCACGGAAACGACGGCTTTGTGACACCGGCACAGCTGCAGCGCTCCGCCCAGCTGCAGCGGAGAGGGCCTTCCGCGCGGCCTTCCGTCGCGTCACCACGGGCCTTCCGCGCGGGTGACGCGGCAGTGCACGAGCTCAGCAGCTCAACAGCTCTGGTTGCACCGATGCGGAAGAAAAAGGGGCCGTTCCTGCTGGGGTGCGACGTGATTTTTGGTAAAAGAAGGACGGAGGTGATGGCGAAGTCTAGACAAACCAATGGCAGCACGAGTGAGGTTCATGGTTACAGTAGGAAGTTCATGTTGGAGAAAGGATTCAGGAACCATTTTGTTTGAAGAGTATGTTGACCCCACTCGCTGACTCCCCGACTCCAGTGGGGACAGGTGGGACGGGCCTGCACAATGTATATAATGCACAGATTGAAGGAAAGACTGGGTAGAAGGATGTTGATGGTTCTGGACTTGAGTTCCCCGTCTCATAAGTTTTTCACCTCTCATAAGTTTCAACATGGACTCTTTCGAGGTTCTCCCCTGCTGCTTTGTTAGTCGGATTTCCATGTCATTTCCAGGTCATGCCCTTCAGGGACCACTGGAAGAGTGCCCTCCCTCGCTCTCCAGGACTCGCAGGCAGCTCAACGCCGCTCAATGGTCCAAAGGTGGGCAGTTTCAGTGACGCCACGAGTGACCCGCTCATTGCGAAAAAGACCAGTGCCCCTTGGGGGCGCTGGAGTCCATGTATAATTGAGTCCATGTCTTGAAATGTCGATAAGATCAGATGTTGAACATTTGTTGTACAGTTGGATTCCACGGTTCTCGTTTCAGATCTCAGTTGGGAGTTATGTTCCGAAGTGTCCAATGTTCTAAGGCAGTGCTGTTGAGTACTTGGACGAGCGCCAATCGAACTACTTCACAGTAGAATAGATGGAGATAAACATGTTGTAGATGGCTTGCATTGCATACCATGTAGAATCCTGGAGTAGATAGAATAAACAAATCAGTGAACCAACCATACCCAATCCAATCCAAAAGCATGACCACCTTCCTATGTATTTATTGGATATTCCGTTCCTATATTATCGGATGGCTATATGTATGTGTGTGTTTTTCGATCCACCTGCCGGTCACCTACCGTAGAAATATCGAAATGGTGTTTCGTTGATTTCCGGCGCGTTCAAAGCGACGCAGCACTTAGACCAGCCGCCTTGCAATATTTCAGCCTCGTTCCATGGGAGGGCTTATTTGACTTTGCGTCTTGAGAAGCAGGTGAGGGATTGGTTGTTCGACATATCTGAGGTTTAGGATTCACTGGGGGACACGAGTACGAAACAGTGATGTGTTTGTCTGGAACCCACCAGAATCGGCACACATTACATTGGCTTTTTATAAGAACACCTACGACTACAATCTGGGGTTCTAAACAAGCCTCAATCAACAATCCAAGATCCAGCATTGAGTTGCGCCACCTCTGGAGTTAGCAACCTGGATCGTAGGGCCTGCCAGTGAGAAGGTGGTGTGTCCAAACCACAAAAGACGAGGTTCCTGTTGATGAAATAAGGCTTGCTGAGTGTGCCGCCGGTGTTTCGTCTTTGGCCAATGTGTCACTGACACTCCCTGTCACCAAGTGGATTGTGCGCACTGCGCCAGACACAGGAGGGGAGGGAGAAAGTGAGCGTGCAGAGAGAGGGCTCAATGTCACTTTCCTTTATTTTAGGTGTGTGTTTGATGGCTCAACATCACATGTGACTCTGGTTGTTGGTTAGGGTGTTCTCGGGTCACCCAATGACCTATGACCGTTTCATGGATCGTTGGTCTTCTAAAGGAAGGCTACGGTTGACTCAGCTTCTAGAGCACCATTGATTGGCAATCACTGATTCTGTAGTTATGTCGGTGCCCATACACTCATTGCTCTTTTTCCTATGCACCTTTAAAGGGGTCACCAATGGAAGCCCCTACACTGGGACCTATGTACCTTTAGAGGCAAGAAAGGGGCTGCAAGCTTCGCTTCCTAGGAGGGAAGGGCGATCCCACAACCTATGAGAGAAGGCTGTCCCAAGCCGTGGGCAGAGCGCACACCGGCAGTGACGGTCACACGGTCATCACGGTTCCATGTGTGCCAATTCATATCACTCAGAGCAGAAGTGAGACTCTTAGTTCACAGGTGGCGGGCAAAGACAAGGCAACCATCAAACAGCATGGTGAGTTGGAAGCCCCATGTTGCGGATTCCTTTCTATCACTTATTTTTGTTGCACCTCCACCCACCTCACCCACCCCCTGCAGCCCCACCTCCACCGGGCCCCTGTGCCTCCCCCCCGAGGCGGGCGGATGTCGCTCGACTTCGGGACGTGGGCGGCTTCCAAGACGTGGAGGTGGGAGGAAGGCAGAAGAGGAGGAAGCGGACGCACACGAGTGGTCAGATATTGTATGAGTTGTATGCCTAACTAGGTGATGGTTTCGGAGATGTGAGAATTTTCAACCCTTAGTTAGGGGATGATTGGACCCTCTGACTCATATTTTTTCAGATGTGGGTTGAAAACACCAACCAGATAACTATGCTGTGTATTGCTGTGTGTCTTTTTTTGTCAGCCCCATATGACATCAGATGTTGTTTTTTTCTGTGTGTACTTTTGTGGCATGGGTGAATTGGGTTCTTGGTTGGTGACACCGGTGATGAACCAAAGGCATGGTATAGATCAGGCCGATCAGGTTGTAGAATCAGCAACATTCAGGTGACAAAAGCGCCTTTGAACGCGTTTTGAACCAAACCCCAAATACCTTCTTAGGAGGTATTCGGAGCCCAAAGGGGAATAGCAAAGCAAGGCACATTCAATCACCCTCTTGGAATCTCCTCAACCTCTTCGCTCACTCGATCGGATGATGGATGGACATCCCTAGGGCTCCTGGCAGATCTCCGTAGGTTCGGTGGTATTCGAACCCCCCCCTGGCACCCACCCCTGGCCCACCGAACCTCAGGAGGTGGGCCAGCCCAAACGGGCATGTAGATCATCCTGTAAAGAAGCCACCCTGAGATCATTCTTCTGCAGACGATGGACTCTGAGAGGGGGACAAAACGGAAGTCTGACCTATGTTCCGAAGACCAAGCGGCTTTTCAATAGGGGTTCCATGTGTTCATCTTCAGGGTAGTCTTCAGGGTTTACTCCATACCCAAGAGTTACGTGTGGATCACCTGCAAAACCTTTTCGGTGTGGCAGGGGGTGGCACTCCACCCCACTCAAGCAAGAACCGGGTGGATCGAGGTTCTACCGCTTCACCCGGTCATTGGCTTCCTCGGGATCGATCGATCCCCTTGTTCGTCTTTTCCCATCGGCTTCAGACCGGGTCCACCTCAGGTGGAAGTGCGTGAAGGGCTGGCTCACGAGGCGACCCCTGGGCCAGGGGCACCAGAGGGAGGGAGCTTGCGGAGCTGGAGAGAACCACTCCATGGGGCTGGTAGATTCACAGAGTTGCGGCCATCAGACGGTGGCGCCATGTAAACCATTGTTAAGCAACTTCTTGCGTATGTCCGGGCTGATAGGCAGGCTTGACTTCCGAGGTCATTGATGAGGGATTTGCTTTGAAATTGGATGCCATTGGCCGGGTGCCATTGGCGAGTCACATGGAGAGTCATGGGAGCTTGGTTGAAAGCCTCCGAAACGGAGAATGGTATTGTAGCGGTTCAGACACGGAGTTGGAGGAGTGCTAGGAAAATCTGAAACGGTCGGCAGGCCAGAGGTTGGAGGAAGAGGGGCCAGAAACTGTATGATTATGTAGTGCTCTCCGACCTTCTAATATACTGTATATATATATAGTATTTCGACCTGCCAGCTCTGATCGGACGTCGCCTGGCAGCTTGCAAGAGAGATTTGTTGAGGATTCAAGCTGAGGCTTGCAATTGGCCACCTAATGACATGAATGACAAGAAAGTTTGACATTACCGCATCCCCGATGTGATGAAGGTCAACCAAGGTTTGTCCGTCCTAGACTGTGATACATTGGCAGGCAGACACCCACCACAGTCACCACAGCAGCAGAAATCAAACATAAACCGGAGGAGACGGCGTTGCTGGAGGAGACTGCAGGATGTTTTGGCTATGACATGCTCTTCTTGTTTTCCTGCCGTATTATTATGTGTTCCTCACTGCGAAGGTTTTGTGCCACGTCACTGGAATGAAATGTCTACTTGACTGCCACAAGACGGATAGCTGTCTCCGGCAGGGGCCACTCTTTGATGCACCCAAGGCTAAGGGCATCACAAGGCGGGAGAGCAGTTTTGGGGGACCCATGCACCATGACTTCATGGACGTTGCCTCCAGGATGTATATATATATATTATATATATCGTATAGAAGACTTCCCCTTCAGTCTGACTGAAAAGGTGAACCAAATTCGCCGGGAGCCCGGCTAGGATCCCTGCCATGTGTTTCTATGACGATCCCAGAAGGTCCAAGAGATTCTTTTTGGAGTTGATACATGTTACAAGAAACATGTCTAAAAGCACTTCTGAAGACGTTTGTTTCGGGAATCCTAGCGGTCCAAGGCGATTGACGTCAGACGTCCAAAGTACCTTCTACTCCTCATATTCAGCCCTGATCGACAATCCGGGCTCTTTCTATGCTCCAACCTTTGTTTCGGTTCGGTGGGACTGGGATAGGTTTGGAGATGTCTAGAGGATCTAAGTATATAGCTTTTGGCATTTGGAGGTATACGGATGTAATTCCTTTTCACTGAGGATGCTGGAAAAGAAATCCTGTATCAACCCGGACCAGCTGGTGTGGGCAGAATAGCAGGATGTGGGGAAATGATCAGCAGTTCCCAGCTCCAGAGTCACAAGGAGCCAAAGGCGTTTGATGGATGAGCTTGTTTTAAACTTCTTCCAATCATGAGCCCTTGCAGTGTTTGAGCTCAAAAGAAATCTTTGCATCACTTCTAACTCCTTGACATTCCTGTGCGGAGAGACGCTTGCAGAACATACATGTAAGGGGCTGGAACACTTGTTTGCCACGCAGGGCGCCGTCGACCAAAGATGCTGACGTCGCCTTGCGCCGTCGGGGGACCATGCCACATGTTGGGATCGTTGGGTGGAAGAAATCTCTTACAGCCTTGATGTAGCATGATGGAATGCTCAAAAGAAACCAACACAATGCCATAATGATCCATAATGGAATT